GAGTGTTCCAATTTTCCCACATCTTCTCCAACATTTATCATTGTCCTGTTTTGTCATGTTGGCCAATCTGATAGGTGTGATGTGGTACCTCAGAGTTGTTTTGATTTGCATTTCTTTAATCATGATTTAAAACATTTTTTCATATGACTATAGGTGGCTTTAATTTCTTCATCTGTTCATCTGAAAACTGCCTGTTCATATCCTTTGACCATTTATCAATTGGGGAATGACTTGTATTCTTATAAATTTAACTTAATTCTCTATATATTTTTGAAATGAGGCCCTTATCAGAGACACTGGTTGTAAAAATTCTTTCCCAGTTTTCTACTTCCCTCCTAATCTTTGTTGCATTGGCTTTGTTTGTGCAAAAACTTTTCAATTTAATGTAATCAAAATTATCCATTTTGCATTTTGTAATGTTCTCTGTCTCCTGTTTGGTGATGAATTCTTCTGTTCTTCATAAATCTGACAGGTAAACTATTGCTCTCCCAGTTGGCTTATAGTATCAGCCTTTATATCTAAATCGTGAACCCATTTTGACTTTATTTTGGTATATGGTGTGAGATTTTGGTCTATACCTAGTTTCTGCTGTACTCTTTTCCAGTTTTCCCAGCAGTCTTTGTCAAATAGTGAGTTCTCATCGCAGAAGCTGGGGTCTGTGGGTTTATCAAATAATAAAATTACTATAATCAATGACTACTGTGTCTTGCATATTTAACCTATTCCACTGATCCACTACTTTATTTCTTAGCCAGTACCAAGCAGTTTTGATGATTGCTGCTTTATAATACAATTTAAGATCTGGAATTGCTAGGCCACCTTCCCCTGCATTTCTTTTCATTAGTTCCTTTGATATTCTGGACCTTTTGTTTTTCCAAATGAATCTTGTTATTTTTTTTCCTAGTTCTATAAAATACTTTTTTGGTAGTTTGATTGGTATGGCACTGAATAAGTAAATTAGCTTAGGTAGGATTGTCATTTTTATTATATTAGCTTGGCCTACCCATGAGCAACTGATGTTTTTCCAATTATTTAGATCTGATTTTATTTGTGTGAAAAGTGTTTTGTAATTGTGTTCATAGAGTTCCTGGGTTTGTTTCGGGAGGTAGACTCCTAAATATTTTATAATGTCTGCAGTAACTTTAAATGGAATTTCTCTCTCTATCTCTTGCTGTTGGGCTTTGTTGGTAATATATAGAAATGCAGATGATTTATGTGGGTTTTTTATAGCCTGCAACTTTGCTAAAGTTGTTTGTTATTTCAAGTAGTTTTTTACTTGATTCTGTAGGATTCTCTAAGTATATCATCATGTCATCTGCAAAGAGTGATAGCTCTGTTTCTTCTTTGCCTATTCTAATACCTTCAATTTCTTTTTCTTCTCTTATTGCTAAAGCTAATGTTTCCAGTATGATATTGAGCAACAGTGGTGATAATGGACATCTTGTTTCACCCTCGATCTTATTGGAAATGCTTCTAGCCTGTCCCCATTACATATAAAGCTTGCTGAAGGTTTTAGGTAGATGATATTTATTATTTTAAGGAAGGCTCCATTTATTACTATGCTGTCTAGTGTTTTTAATAAGAATGGGTGTTGTATTTTGTCAAAAGCTTTTTCTGCATCTATTGAGATGATCATGTGTTTTCTGTTAGTTTGGTGTTGATATGATCAGTTATGCTGACAGTTTTCCTAATATTGAACCAGCCCTGCATTCCTGTTATAAATTCTACCTGGTCATAGTGTATTATTCTTGTGATAAGTTGCTATAATCTATTTGATAATATTTTATTTAAAATTTTTGCATCTATATTCATTAGGGAAATTGGTCTATAATTTTCTCTCTCTGTTTTGACTCTTCCCAGTTTAGGAATCAGCACCATATTTGTATCATAAAAAGAATTTGGTAAGACTCTATCTTCACCCATTTCCCCAAATAGTCTAAATAGTATTGGAATTAATTGTTCTTTAAATGTTTGATATAATTCACTTGTAAATCCATCTGGCCCTGGAGATTTTTTCCTAGGTTAATAGCTTGTTCAATTTCTTTTTCTGAGATGGGGTTATTTAAGTATTTTACTTCCTCTTCTGTTAATCTGGGCAATTTATGTTTTTGTAAATACTCATCCATTTCACTAAGATTGTCAAATTTATTGGCATACATTTGGGCAAAATAGTTCCTAATTATTCTTTTAATTTCCTCTTCCTTGGTGGTGGATTCACCCTTTTCATTTTTGATACTGGTAATTTGTTTTCTGCTTTCTTTTTTTAAATTAAATTAATCAAAGGTTTATCTATTTTATTGTTATTGTTTTTTCATAAAACCAGCTCTTAGTTTTATTTATTAGTTTAACAGTTTTCTTAATTTCTATTTTATTAATCTCTCCTTTGGTTTTCAGTATTTCTAATTTGGTGTTTAATTGATGATTTTTAATTTGTTCTTCTAGTTTTTTAGTTGTATACCCAATTCATTGATTTCCTCTTTCTCTATTTTATTCATGTAAGCATTTAGAGATATAAAACTTCCCCTAAGAACTACTTTCTCTGCATCACATAAGTTTTGCTATGTTGTCTCATTATTGTCATTCTCTTAAATGAAGTTATTGATTGTTTCTATGATTTGTTATTTGACCCATTCATTTTTTAGGATTGGATTATTTAGTTTCCAATTATTTTTTAGTCTATCTTTCCATGGCCCTTTATTAAATGTAATTTTTATTGCATCATGATCTGGAAAAGATGCATTTAATATTTCTGCCTTTCTGCATTGGATTGTGAGGTTTTTATGCCCTAGTATATGGTCAATTTTTGTGGTAGGTGCCATGTATCACCAAGCAAAAAGTATATTCCTTTCTATCCCCTTCAATTTTCTTCAGAGGTCTACCATATCTAACTTTTCTAATATTCTATTCAACTCCTTAACTTCTTTCTTGTTTATTTTGTGGTTAGATTTATCTAGTTCAGAGAGGGGGAGGTTGAGGTACCCCACTACTATAGTTTCACTGTCTATTTCTTCCTGTAACTCCCTGAACTTCTCCTCTAAGAATTTGGATGCTATACTGCTTGGTGCATATATGTTTAGTAATGATATTACTTCATTGTCTATGGTGCCTTTTTGGAAGGATGTAGTTTCCTTCCTTATATCTTTTGGTAAGATCTATTTTTGCTTTTGCTTATGTTCTAAAAGCCACACCCAAAGCTCCTTCCAGGAGAGGGTGTCACTACCCTCTGCCCAGCTGGTAGAGAAGAGAGCTCAGTGACTCCCTCTTTACCATTCCCAGAATTCCTATTTGCACAGACAGCAATATTTGCCCAAGCCACAGTGGTCCCAACCTCCTGCTCACGTTTCACCAATTGGCCCATGCTTAGATAGTTGTGTGGTGGGAAAGCCTGAAGTGTGAAGTCATTCTGATAGGGCTCTTCTCCCAATTCAACCTCCCAATGTGAGGCATGAGGCTATTTCATCTTATTTCATTTGCCCACCAGCCTAGATGGTAGAGGTATTACCCTAAATGGTAGGTCTAACACAAGTACCTTGTTATTACTAACAAGTTTAATGATGGGATGAAATGAGCTGCTCACAAGTCATGAAACAACTAACAAAAGGAGATTTACTTTGCCCTATGAAACAAGATAACTTGTGAATATATCACAAAGATGTAGTGGAACTAAGCTTCTCTGGGTATGATCCCACCCCCACCCCTTTATCTCCTTAGGAAAATGTGTCTGATTAACAGAGCAAAGTATGGTAACTCAGGTGGTCTTCAGAAATCCACCAAATTAAAGGGGTCCTGGTTCCACATGGTGGGATTTGTGCACTTTAGAGGATTAAGAAGCTGTGTCAAGGGAGGCAGGGACCACTTAAGTCCCAGGCACAACTTTGTTGTCTTTTAGGGAAAATTAATTCCTATTTTGGGGAAATGGGAAAATCCTGGTCTTATCACACTCATAGAGTACACTTAGTAAATGCTTACTGATTGACCACATGATCCTTGTATATAGCTCTCAGCATCACCTTTTTTAATATCCAGAGCTTCATGCAGAGAGGTGGTGACAAATCAAATGTGGAAAGAACAGCCAATATTATCAAAAGAGTGAAAACAGCACATTGACTCCTATGTATATGGGAATGACTTCCAGCTAAATTAATATGGTTAGTTTTTAAAGAACTGAAATGATTCTCACTTTATGTGATTTCAGTTATAAAGCCTCAAAGTTTTATTATTTTAAAAAGTAAACCAAGTCATTGGAGGTATGGTAAAAAGCTGGTTAGGGATTTAGGAAGACCTGGGCTCAAATTCTACTATGACATAGTGGCTGTGTGACTGGGCAAACTTCTTGACTTCTCAGTTCCTTAGGCAACTCTCTAAAAAAGGCACTAAGTTGCAAAATAGTTGCCTATCTTCATTGTTAGAGGAAGTTTTCTGCAGTTTTCTACATTGGTAATTTCCCTGGTAATTTTCCTTATAGCACTAATGAAATCACACACACACACACACACACACACACACACACACACACAAACCCCTCAATTAAAAAAAATCAACATAACTCTATGGAATCAGTTTGATTGGTCCAAATATTATTTCTTTCAGGCTTATGAGAAAAAGTCAAACAAATGTTCAGCATATGATCCAGAAGCTGAGTCAGAAGATATGTTTCTTTGATGAAAACAGTGTCACTAGCCCATGAAGAAGGAGGGAAGGAGTGAAGGAAGGAAGGAAAGAAGTAAGGTGTGAAGGAAAGAAGGAAGAAGGAATGAGTGAAGAAAGGAAGGAAGGAGTGAAAGAAGGCATAAAGGAAGGGAAAGAGGAATGAAGAAGTGAAGGAAGGAAGAAGTGAAGGAAAAACGATCGAAAGAAGGAAGGAAGGAATGAAAAAAGGAAAGAAAAGAGGGAAAGAGGGAGGGAGGAAAGAACGAGGGAAAGAAAGAAATAAGAAAGGAATAAGCATTTATTAAACATCTACTACATTAAGCATACCTACTACATGTGCTAAGTGCTTTACAAATATTATTTATTCATAAATTATTTATTATTTATTTACAAACATTATCTCATTTGAAGGAAGACAACCTGTTAGTGAAGAATGGTAAGCCAAGGCCAGTTCCATCTGGGCCTCTTGGGAATTTGCTTTGATAAACACTCAGAAAGAGGGAGCTGTGGCTTAGTGGTTAGAAAGCTGGCCTTGAAATCAGGAAGACCTGGGAACAAGAACATCTCTGACACGTACTGGCTTATGGGCAAGTCACTTAACCTCAGTGCTTTAAAGCAATTCTATTAAGACTAAAGTTGTAAATAAAGTACCATCTTGCTTTGGTAGAAGGGATCCCCTCAGCTATGAGTTCCCTTTCAATGAAATCACCAGTCCAGTCCTTATCACTCAGTTCTCAGAAATACATCAAATTGCTGTCCAGGGAGACTGGTTTTTCTTTTTCTCTTTCTTCTCCTTCTTCTTCTTCTTCTTCTCCTTCTTCTTCTTCTTCTTCTCCTTCTTCTTCTTCTTCTTCTTCTTCTTCTTCTTCTTCTTCTTCTTCTTCTTCTTCTTTTAACACCTTACTGTATCTTTGTCCTTACCATTTGGATCTGTTGCTTATGCTTTCACATAAAACTCTGCTTGTTTTGACATTTTGGGTAACTACCTTTCTCTTAGTGTAGACAGATTTAAAGAATGTTCAGAGTAGAAGGAGTCATTAAGATATTATTTATTTATTATTTATTATTTATAGCTACACTTATTTTATGGATAGGAAAAATGAGGCCTAAAGAAATCGACAACTAATTAGTGGCAGAGTATTATTTCTTAAGCTAACCCTGATTTTAGACCACTTAAGGCAAGTATTTTAATTGCTGGATCACCTTTTCAGAAAGACATTGGAATGAATTCATTCTAACCTAGGTTTTAACCTAGATTTAGCATTAATTCCCATAAGGCCATTATCCAGTGACAGTTCCTTTTTTTTCTCAGTAAAGAACTATGCAAATGAGTAATTCCATATCTATTTAGAAATCTTTAAGACAGAAAGTTATCAACTTATAAATCCACCAGCTGCTTCAGTAGGTCATAGGACCATAGTCTGGCTAAGAAAATACCATTTAATACTGTATTTAAAAAAAATACCTAACTAAAACTAAGAAGCTTTCTGGAAACTGAACTTGGATGAGCCAAACTTCCAGGTTTTTTAAAAAATTAGATATATTATTGAATTTCCAACATAAATACCTACATTAAATATATTACCAGAAGTTTTGTGATCTTTGGTAGGTTACAGATTTTTCCTCTTTTCCCCCCAGTTCTTCCTTCTTTTCCATTTTCAAAGCATGTTCCCATTTCCCCCCCCTCACATTCAAAAAATGTACAGTCATACATTTTGTGCTAAGAATGTTCCATAAATTAAAAGTTTTGAGACCTGGGTATGTCATAGAAAGACACACAGCTAAGCAGCAGAGACCCCCTGGAAAATCTCTAGGAGCTCACACATAGTCATTCAGTCTATAACCGCTGTGAGAAGCTGATGCCACTGAAGGAACGCGATTGTCCTTGTAAGCAGTGGGAGGCTGGTATGGAGGTGCCATTGTCGCCATTCTGGACTGTGTCTGGTAATCTGAGTACGGCTCATCCTCCTGGCATGACATGCAGAGTAGAGTCCCACCAATAAGGGACAGTGATGATGAAATGAAGCCCAGGTACAGGGCTTGCCCAAGCTCATACTTCATGCTAGTGGGTAGCAGTGGGTTGTAGAAATTTTCTACCACATCATTGGTTGTCCAGGAGACAGCAATCATACAAAGTAGACCTGCCAAGATAAAGAGGACCCCCCCGGAGACAGCAAAGGTATTCTTGACAGAAGTGCCTTTAGCACACTTAGTATACTTCATTCCAATGACAGCACACGTGGAGGCCATGGCAGAGAGCAGGCAGGAGATGACCATCAAGGCACGAGAGGCCTGCAGGTCACGGGGTAGGGCCAACAGAGACCGGTAGATCTGGCACTGATAGATTCCAGTGCTGTGCCAAACACATTCCATCCAAAGTCCCTTTACATATGACACAGCTGTTAAAATGTTGGTGCCTACGTGAGCTGTTCTTCTCCAGTGAGGCAAGATGGTGGTTATCAAGGTCCCGATCATCCCCAAGAAGCTGAGCAAGAAGCCCAGGAGCTGGACTGCTGTGCTGGCCATGTTTGCTAGTACTTATGGTGACTTAGAGCCAGTTGGTTACATGCAGTCACCTGCAGCTGTCACTTCTAAGCCCTCTTGGGAATACAGCTTCTTCTGGCAAACTGGAGCTGTTTCTATTCTGTTGCCCCGGGAGTCCTAATAAAAATGCAATAAGGGTATGTGGGGGGATGGGGAATAGGAGACGGAAGGGAAATTGGTTAAATATTATCTTGTTGCCACTATTTCTGTAATGGGGATTTTCATAGGTAATTAGTATGGCAATTAACAAAGCTCTTGGGATTTTGCAGAGTGCTAGGAAATTGTTCTTACCTTCTCCACTGAAAGACAGGAGGTGGAAGAGGGTGATATTCTGTATGATATATTTGGATGCACAGTAGATTGGACACCTCAGTTCATCTCAGCCCAGTCATTAACTAGCTATGTGACCTTCGTCATTTCACTCCTCTGTGTTAGAAAAGGCATCCTGATGGCATGAGATGGCCTAGAATTAGGTAGTAGGAGAATAGAGATGAAAGCCCTATATGTCATGAGAAATTACATTGGTATTCAAAATCACGTGGGAATTTTGTAAGACAAAATTACTCTTTCCTTTTTGCATAGGAGAGAAAGCATGGTAGCTGAATGGGCTAATTCCCAGGGCCCAGAAATCATCTTCCCCAGATAAGCACACTCCTGTGGCACAGAAATTTGTTGTACTTGGCCAGCAAAGCCTAAGGCTTAGTTTGACAGGAATAATAAACAAGTTTTATCAAAGAAAATGGCAATAATGAGTATCGGCAACAACACAAAAACTTGGGGAATGCAATCTGAAAAGTCCTTATGGGGGGAAATTTCCATCTCTAAACATTTTCATCATTAAAAGAGAGAAAGAGCAGGTCAATGATTTGGGCATGAAACTTAAAACAACAACAACAACAACAACTAGAAAAGCAAATGAGAAAAAGGCTAAATACCAAAAAAATATAAATTCTGAAAATGAAAGAAGAAATAAGAACAAGAAATAGAGAACTGAAATAACCTAGTCTCAGAGAAAGAAACTGAACAAACCATGAATAAATTCCCAAAGGCAAAACAAACAAGCAAACAAAAATACCCAGGACTCAGCAGATTTACAAGCGAACTATGAAACATTCAAAGAACAATTTTGATATTATGAAATATTTTAATTGTAAAAAATAGGGGAAAAAAGGATCCTAGCAAACTCCTCTTATGAAGCTATGATATTGATAATCCAACTAGGGAGAGATAAAGCAAAGAAAGAAAACTATGGACCAATATCTTTAATGAGTATTGATGCAAAAAATTGAATAAAATGTTGAGAGACTATAAAAAGCTTCTAAACTAAAAGAATATGTGTTATAATTGGATCAGACAAATCAGGACTGATTTAGCACTAGAAAAATTTTTGTAAACATAATAGACCATATTAATAAGAAAAAAAAATAAATACAGATTTATATTAACAGATACAGAATTTTTTTTGACAAAATTTAACCTCTATGTTCAAATCACTAAAAAAACATAGGAATAAATGACCTCTATTAAGACAAATAGAATCTATCTAAAACCAAATGTAAGATGGAAAATGCTATAAGCGTTTCCAATAAGATCAGGGATAAAGCAAGAATGCTCATTGTGATCACTTCTTTTTTTTTATGTGGTTTTAGAAATACTAACTGCTCCAGTAACAAACAATTAAAAAATTGAGGTAATGCAGCACCCATTCCTATTAAAAACACTAGAGAGCATAGGAATAAAGGAAGTTTCCCTAAAAATGATAAGCAGTATCTATCTAAAATCATCAGCAAGCATTATATGTAATGGGAAACAGCTAAAAGTATTCCCAATAAGATCAGGGGTGAAATAAGGATGCCCATTATCTCCAATGTTATTCGATATCATACCAGAAATGTTAGCATTAGCAATAAGAGAAGAAAAAGAAATTGAAGGAATTAGAATAGGCAATGAGGAAACAAAATTATCAGTCTTTGCAGATGATATGATGGTATACTTGAAGAATCCTAGAGAATCAACTAAAAAACTACTTGAAACAATTAACAGCTTTAGCAAAGTTGCAGGATCTAAAATAAACCTACATAAATCATTAGCATTTCTATATATTACCAACAAAACCCAGAGAAATTCCATATAAAATAACTGTAGACAATATAAAATATTTGGAAGACTACCTGCCAAGACAAAGTCAGGAACTACGTGAACACAACTACAAAGCATTTTTCACACAAATAGAGTCACAATTTGAAAAATATAAATTGTTCACAGGTAGGTTGAACTAATGTAATAAAAGTGACAATTGTACCTAAATTTAGTGCCATACCAATCGTATGACCAAAAATTACTTTATAGAGTTAGAAAAAATAATAACAAAAATTGAGGTACTAAGCATAGTTGAAGAACAGATTTTTCAGTTTTTGCAGATGATATTATGGTTTACTTAGAGAACTTTGTATGCTAAAAATTAATTGAAACAATTAATTATGTCAGTAAGGCAGCAAGATATAAAATAAACCCACAAAAATCATCAACCTTGTATTATTTTACATACAAAACCCAACAGACAGAGAAGTAAAAGGAAATTCCATTCAGAATAATTACAGAAGGTGTAAATTTCCAGGGGGCCACCTATCACGACACACATAGTAATTATATGACTACAACTATAAACCACTTTGAATGGAAATTAAAGTAGACCTAAATAATTGGAGGGATATTACTTACTCATTGTTGGGCTGTGCCAATATGATAAAAATTATAACATTACTAATACTACTTAATCAGATCTGAATCTTCCAGAGGAAGAGTCCAAGATTTGTGTAGGAGGAGGAGTGTAGGAATGCATCTGGGAGCATGTTTGGACCTGGCCAAATGAGCTTTAAATATCGACTTCCCAGAAGACTCTAATGGTATCTATAAATTAAATCACTAAATCATATTTTAAATGTGTTTTTGTCAAATGTCTACTTATGAATGTCCTGTGTTTGGCATTCTTTTTGCATGTGGTAATAATTTACCTGTCTCATACCAGATTCATATTTTGGGTACTTCTTTCCTCCTTTCTTCCTTTTGTGGAAATCTGTTGTTGGCCAGAATGCTGTGACTCATACTTGCGGCAGATTGAGTTAATCCTTTCTCTTTCCCACCCCCTTTCCTAGGCTGTTGCAAGCTAGGACATCATCAAACCTATCTGGGGAAGTTTTAGCCCCCAGGTGAATTGATGTGAAACCCAGATATGGGACCCATAGGCAATGAATATATAAAGATGCCATATAAGGGCAGCCACTGGATCATGTTCCAGGCACTCTTTTTGGCTGCCCAGATTGCACAACAGTTGGTTTGCCTGGGCCCAGGCAGCCCTCCCTACCCCATTTCCAGCTACACATTGATGCCTGGTGCCTTGGACAACTTTACTCCCAGAGTGAACCTCCATGGACAACAATAACTTACCTGAATTCATTCCTTTAATTCCATTAATATTATTCCCCTATCTCATTATTCCCTATGCAACCCAGTGATTCTGAAACCCCAGCTGCCATTGTTCAAACCTCATTGAGAGACTGCACTCTTCTGTATCTAGAATAGAAAAAAAATAATGAAAAGGCCAAGGTCCCAGGCTTGTTTTTCAGCTGCTATATGGCCTCAGAAAGGGAAGGTCTCATAGTCTTTCCCCTGACAGGATTCTCTCACCAGAAGCCATGAGTAAAGTAGTCACCTCTCTCCCCCATGAACAAATGCTGTAAAAAACTGTTGGATCTAACCCAGTAGCTGGAGCTACCCAGCCAAAGGAAACAGGCTTCTCCCAACCTGGCTTCTCCCAGAACATGCCAAGTCAAAAAACCTGAATACCAAAATGCAAGATAATACAAGCCTAGTCCAATAACAGAATTTCCATTCTTTCTCTAGCCTCTCCAAGGCATCTCCCACCCAGAAGCAATTCCCTCTGTGACCCTCATCCCAAGTCCATTGGACTACCTATTCCTCTCACAACTTCCCAGAGTCTTTCACTTCAGCAGCCTGAAGTGGAGTTGGCCTTTTCTGTCTTCTTTCTTGAAGCTAGAAGCTGACTCCACACTCAAGAAGACTCTCATTTGGAGAAACCCCAAAAGCAGAGACTTGTGAATGTCCCCAAAGTGGGGAGCTAGAGCTCTCTTACCTCTCACCAACTCTGTTCTTCACCAACATGGCCTTTGTCTTCACCAACAAGGAAAGAGTTCCATACCACTGGGCTTTGGGACAAGGGTTACACCTCCATGCAAAGATGCCAATCTAATTAAGCTGATGGGGTCTCCACAAGTACCAGACCAAATCTGTAAAACCAGGAACAATACCTAGCACATATAGGCACTTAATAAATGCTTATTACCTTCCCTTTCCTCCTCTGTTATCCTTACTTCTTCAGTTAACCAGGAGAAAAACAAAACAAACCCAAAAATAGACGGTTGGCTGAAGGAGCTCTTTAGGTAAGCATTGGTTGGTAAAAGTTGTTCATTACCAAGCCAGCTTGCACACCCTGTGCAAAAATAGCACTGGCTTATCCGGAACAGCTTTGCAAAGTCTTTTCTGAAGCCTGAAGGCTGTATGACCTTTGGAGGTACCTGCAGAGCCCTTCCAGTTTTGATTCCATGACTATGTTTTACTTGGAAACTCAGGGACCTCCTAGACCTCAGTCAGAAGGTTGTGAAAGTTCCTAGTTCTTGGTTAGTTCATTAATTCTTTAAAAGTATGATGAAAAACCGTAAGACTGTCTGACCTTATTAATTGTAAGAAATGCACTCTAAATTTATTGGAGGTCAGACTATTTGAGGGAATAAGGAGTGTTTTTTTAAATTAATAATCACAATCGTCTTTATTGTTCCAAAAAAGAAACCACTCTCTCTATTGTTTCTCTCTGTCTCTCTCTTTTCCCCCTCCCTACACATCCCACCTCATTCTCACTCTCCTTTTGTAAGATTGAATGGTCAATAATTTCACCTGATTTCACTCTCCATCATCTCATATTGATTTTTATATTCTTCTTTGTAAGCTCTTTATTTAACATTTTATGTAAGCATAAAGTGTCATTAAACATAATTATCCTAGCCATTCCCTATTTTTAAAAATAATTTATTTTGATTTATCAACAATTACCTCCATAAGCTGAGTTTTAAATTTTTCTTCCCCTCCTTCCCCAAGATGGTGCACAATCTGATATAGGCTATACATACACATTCCTATTAAACATATTTTCATATTAGTGATGTTGTAAGTAAGAATTAGAACCAATAGGAGGAACCACCAGAAAGAGAAAACAAAACACAACAGAACAAAAAAAAATAGCAAATAGTATGCTTCTATCTGCATTCAAACGCCATGGTTCTTTCTTTGGATGTGGATAACATTTTCCATCATGAGGCCTTTGGAGATGTCTTAGATTCTTGTATTGCTGAGAAGGGCTAAGTCTATCAATATTAGTCATCACACAACATGGCTATTACTGTGTACAACATTCTCTTGGTTCTGCTCACTTCACTCAGCATCAGACCATACAAGTCTTTCCAGGTTTTTCTGAAGTCAGCCTGTTCATCATTTCTTATAGCACAATAATATTCCATTACATTCATATACCACAACTTGTTCAGCCATTCCCCAATTGATGGGCATCCTTTCAATTTCCAGTTCTTTTCCACCACGAAAAAGCTGCTATAAATGTTTTTGCACATGTGGGTCCTTTTCCCATTTGTATGATCTCTTTGGGATATAGCCCTACAAGTTCTATTGCTAGGTCAAAGTGTATGCGTATTTTTATAGCCCTTTGGGCATAGTTCCAAATTGCTCTCCAAAATGGTTGGATCATTTCACAACTCCACCTACAATGCATTAGTGTTCCAATTTTCCCGTATCTTCTCCAACATTTATCATTCTCCTGTTTTGTCATCTTGGCCAATCTGACAGGTATGATGTGGTACCTCAGAGTTGTTTTGATTTGCATTTCTCTAATCAATAGTGATTTAGAGCATTTTTTTCGTATGACCACAGATGCATTCCCTGTTTTTTATAGGCATTATTTCCTTTGGGATATGTCTTTGAGATATGGTATGATAGAAAGAGCATTGGATCTGGAGGCAGAAGATGAGTTCAGATCAGTTTCTGTTGTGAACCATGAGCTCCACGAATCCCACAAACCCCAATTTGAAACAGAGTCTGCTCTGAGAAAGAGAAAAATGAAATTGGGGTACATATGTCCATGATTTAATTTCTTGCAAGCTGGATTGACATGCATTGCCCAGGAGTTCAGTCTAAAACTGAGCCCCCCTAGGGGGGCCAGTTCAAAACTGGGTCAGTTTGGGATTTATATGTCCTTTGAAGAGTAGGTGTTCCCAAGGGGTGCCAATCAACCTCGACTGGTCGACACACTAGGAGGTGGGTCATATCAAAATGAGGTCTTGAGTATGTGCTTTAGATCACTCAGTCCACAGGGGTCAATATTGCCCACCATCAAAACACCACCCCCAGTCTTAGGAGTCTGTCTCCACCCAAACCTTACTAGGATAAAATCAATTCAGGCCTGGGTGGGAGTTTGACCAAGATAAGAAGATTCAGTGCAATCTCATGATCAGAGATGTCCTTCTGAAGAACTTTGATCAGAAGGCTGGTGGGGATTGGAAGGGGAGAGCTCTGAGTCTCCAAGACAGAGATTACCAAGATAAATCATTTTTCACATTCCCCCATCTGATTCTAATGATAGGCGTAGCCTTCTCAATGAATCACTAACTGATAATGGTCAGCATTTCATCCAGGGGTTTTGGGAACTTATAACAATATGGGAGAAGGGAGGAAGAAATTTATTGATATATTGACAAATCAAAAGGGGGCAGTCCCCTTAGTAAGTACAGATACAGAGACCCAAAGGGAAAAAGTAACAATAAACAGTCCATTCAAGGCATCTCATACAGCTATCTGGTTTTCAGGACATCATCCGATGAAGTTTTCTGGTCTGAGTGCTGTTCAAACAGTGTCTAGCAGACCATCTTCTTGTAGAAATCCTCTTTCTTGTGTCCACTCTCATCCAAAATTGATCTTAACACAATTTTAAATTACCTTGCCAATAACCAGGTCAAATATTGAAAGTTAACTCAATCCTTATGTCTCTATTATTATAAGATCAAAATTGGAACCTTGGCCAGTTGTCGTGTTCAAGAAACTCAAATGAGAAAATAAGTAACAGAAAAATTAGAACCCAGTCTTTATACTTGCATTAATCCTAGTTTTTGTGTATTTTGAATTTATATTTTGCATTAATTCATTATTCATTCCCCATCAGGAGAATGAGATTCCACTAAGGAACTAATAATAGACGAGGAGTGTTATTTTTAGAAACCATTAGGTTGCTATTTTTAAACCTGTACTATAAAAGTTTTGCTTTAATTAAAGGAGTATTAATGAGCCTCCAACTCTCTGGCTATTTCTTCCTTCCTCAATTTTTTCCAGTTGCTTCTGGCATTAGGTAATACTTTAACTTCTGGAGAATAAATTTTCTTTCTTTCTTTTTTTGTGCAAAAATATTTAATTTATTTACTTTTAGTTTTCAACATTCACTTCCACAAGATTTTGAGTCCCAAATTTTCTCCCTATCTCTTCCTTCCCCCCACCCCAAGACGGCAGCGTGCATTCTGAATACCCCTTGCCCTGATCTGTCTTCCCTTCTATTACCACCCCCCGCCCTTGTATTTTCCTGTAGGGCAGAATAGATTTCTATACCCCATTGCCTGTGTAGCTTATTTCCCAGTTGCACGTGAAAACAATCTTTTAACATGTGTTTTTAAAACTTTGGGTTCCGAATTTTCTCCTTT